CCATCCTCTTTAACTCTGCATTTCAAATAAATAGGATAAATCTTTTTTAAAAAATAACAATAAAAAGAGTAAAATCCATGGGACTCTTTCCCTTTAATCCTTTACAAAGTAAAATAACAGAGAAAGGGTGAAGATGTTTGTTTAGGATGTTACCAGCTCTCCACAGTCAGGTTTACAAACAGAAGCTGCCCAGGTGGCCGGTGCTGTGGCTAGTAGGCTAAGCCTCTGCCCACAGTGCTGGCATCCTATGTGGGCGCTGGTTCAAGTCCTGGCTCCTCCACTTCCAATCCAGTTAATGGCCTGGGAAAGCAGTTGAAGATGGTCCAAGTCCTTGGGCCCCTATATCCACATGGGAGACCCGGAAGCAGCTCCTGGCTCCTGGCTTCAGCCTGGCCAAGCTCCAGCCGTTGCAACCATTTGGGGAGTGAACCAATGGGTGGGAGATTCTCTCTCTCTCTCTCTCTCTATCTCTATCTCTATCTCTATCTCTATCTCTATCTCTGCCTTTCAAATAAATAAATCTTTAAAAAACAAAAGCCACTTTTGCCCAACTCTGCCACGCTCTAAGGATTCTGTCTTGTTTCTAGCCTTCTTTGGCAAACTCCCAACACAAATCATCTATGCCTTGATGGCCACCTCTTGGCAAACTGATGTGGGGCTCTGGTAGAAGTGCTACCAAGGACCATGACCTTGTCCTGAGTGGCCAGCTTCCACTGCCCTTTCAGGGACTCTGCCGACTCTCTACAGGGTAAGCTTGTTACTGAACCCACTCCCTTAGAGGATGGTTCTTCTATCACTATTGTTCTTTTAAGAGTGACATGTTTAGCATCACAACATTAATACAACTCTACATGAAGAACAAGAACAGTCCTGGCAAAGAGAAACATAGAGTACTGGCTCATCTGCTCACTCTAAGGTAGCTATGTATCTGGAGAATTATACGTCACAGGTTTTGTTTTGTTTTTAAGATTTATTTGACAGACAGGAAGAATTACAGAGAGAGAAGATACAGAAAGACAGAGATCTTCCCTCAGCTGGCTCATGCCCCGAATGGCCACAACGGCCGAGGCTGGGCCAGGCTGAAGCCAGGAACCTGGAACTCCATCTGGATCTCCCACAGAGGTGGCAGGGACCCAGGTACGTGGACCACGATCTCTGATAATTAACAGAGCACCTATAAGGAAACCTGTAGAAGTGAAATTGACACTTTCAGAAGCAGTGATTTGAACAGCCCTTGTCTTGACTGTTGAGGAACAGTTTTGTTTATTTGTTTTCCTTCATAGTACCATTGGTTGAACTCTTTAACTAACAGAATTAATCATATGTGTATAAAGTCAATTGAAAATAGGTCTCAGTAAAAAAATAAGAGTGGGAATAAGAGAGGGAAGAGGAAGTTTGTTACTGTAAAGCTGTATAGTTCTGTATACATTCTTATCATCTTACTTCTAAGGGTACAGCTAAAAACTTGCCATGAGACTCCAAATCCCATTAAACTGGGTGGTAATAATGCCATCTTAAGTGTTAAAATGATCATATTAAGTGTTAAATTGATCATATAGATAGGATTAATTGTTAAAGGGATCATATAAATAGGATCAAGTGTTTGGTAATAACAATAAATAGAACTAAAAAGAAAAGAATGTTCCAACATGGGAAGCAGTTCACACAGCAGACAGCAGACTCATAGAATGACAATCGCTCTAAATAGCACACTAAAGTACACTAACCTCAGAATCAACCCTTAAGGCATTCTGGTATGGCTGAAAAGCCCATGAGAGCATTAGAGCATTTCAGACATGGAAACCCAAGACGCTGTGGAAAAAAAAATCCTACATGAAGGATCTCTGTGAGTGAGACCCCAGTGGAAAGAAGGGGCCATCAAAGGATGTACTTTTATCTGAAGGAAGGAGAGAACTTTCACTTTGCTTATAGCCTTGTCTAAATACTGACAGAGACTGCAGACTCAAAAGGCATCCATAGCCTTGGCAGCTCATGACAAGAGCCTTGGGTGATTACTGATATCATAAATAAGAGTGTCAATTGTTAAATTAACAACAGGAGTTACTGTGCACTAATTCCCCATGCAGTACAATGAGTTGTACTATGAGAATTAACTGTAAAACTTGTTCTCAGTTTTTTATATATTGTGTGTGTGTATGTGCAAATTGTTGAAATCTTGACTTAGTATAGAGTTGGTCTTCTGTGTATAAAGTTAATTGAAAAGGAATCTTAATGGCGAATGGGACTGGCAATGGGAGAGGGATGAGGAAGTAGGGAGAGAGAGGGTGGGAGGGCAGTTATGGTGGGAAGAATCACTATATTCCTAAAGTTGTACTTATGAAATTTGTACTCATTAAAGGGTTTCTTAAGGTAGGGGGTAGATTGGGGTGGATCAGTTATCTGCTCTACAATCCTAAAAAAAACCTGCTCTCTTCTCCCTATCTCTGCCATGGGTCAAGCCACCACCCTCTCTCCCCAGGCCATTGGTACTGTCTCTCCTTACTTTCACTTTTACCTCCCCCCAGGAGTCATTCCCTACAGCTAGAGTGACCTAAAACCTAAATCAGACCATTTACATTCTCTGCTTAAAATCCCTCCATGGCTTCCCGTTTGTCACAGATTGGAGTTGCCACAGAAGCAAAGACTGACTTTGGTCTTCACGATGCTGACTAGGGTTTAACATGTGTGGTAAGAAGGAGGAGGGAGCAGGACAGAGCAGAGGAAGACATCAGAGAAGTGGGCTCAACAGAGCCTCTCTGCTAACCCATCAGGGAGCTCCGACATGAGCGTAGTCCGGCAGAATGATCTGATGGGACCAGCTGAGTCTCAAGTGTGATGTGACCCAAGTCGCGTATGTTCCTGAGCACTGCTCACTACCGTGGGGCAGACCCTGTAAGAGCTGTTAAGTCGGCACTGTTCACTGACCTGTCTTCATGTCTGGGCACTAAGTCTTTCCTTAAAGCCAGATCTGGGTGGTGCTTCTGCTTGTCCAGCTCACCGTTGCGCTTAGAAGGACTTCAAAGCCAACGATAGAGCTCCTACCCTGCCTTTCCTCCACATATCTCCACTCTCATTTTGCTCTAGGGGTGCCAGCCTTCCCATTTCTGTAAGCCCGCCCCTCGTCAGGGCCACTGGGCCTGCTGTTCCATTTTCCTGGAATGTTAGACTCCGGGCTCCTTTTAAAGTTGTCTGCCGCCTTCCTCATGGCTCCCTATAGTGTTGCTCAGCTTGCTTGCCTCATGCACTTAAAATGGTCTAAATGATCTAATTTCTGTTTACATCTAGCTCAACAACCAGAACGTAAGTCCATGCATGTGAATCCGGTCTCTTCTGTCCACTGTTCTTACCCTCGAATGTGGTAGATCTCCAACAGGTATTTGTTAAAATGAATTGCATGAGTTATAGAAATACTGGATGACAGTGCTGATAGCTACTGTTTTAGCCAGCTGAATGACTTTTCCCAAATAATATGTATTAGTGTATTAAGGCTAACCTGAAGAAATATCTCTGGTTGGCACATACAAGTCTGGTTCTGTTAAACAGTTAAAAGTCAATGAAATGTTTTAATCATCCAAATTGCTAAAGACACAAGCCTGGGAGTACTGGTGGCTAATATACTGGGTCACAGGTTTCAGATTCAGAAGAATCTAAATGCAGAATAACAACAGAATGGATGACGAATGGTAGTGCGGTATTCCTACAAAGAGCTGTATCACACAGCAATGGCAATGAGTGCTAGTGTAGTAAGCCCAAAGAAACTTCACGACGATAATGTTGAGAGAAATGAGCCAGACACACACCACAGCAGACGGCATGATTCTATTTATGTATATTTCAAAACCAAGTGCAGTTATTCTGTGTGATTAGAGCTCACGACTTCAGGCAGGGGAAAGTGGCAGTGACCGGGAGGGGGCAGGAGGGAAGGCTGTGGGGGTGCCTGTGGTATCTCCATCTTGACCTTGGTGGTGTTTACATGGATGTGTTTATTTTGCAACAATGCTTTGAACTGTGTGCTTCTGATTAGTGCATACTTTCTATGTGTATTATGTACCCATTTTAAAGTTAAGAGTAAAGATTATGAATTTATTTAATTAAAAGCTTGTGTGTCATTCCTGATTTCAAGTAAAAGAATAATTAGGATTATAGTTGTTGTATTATAGTCGTTGATTTGGAATAAATAATCTTAACTATATTGAAGTAATTTCCCTTGATCTCTTGTTTCATAGATTTTATTGTTGTTGTTTATAAGAAGGGCTGTTAAAAAGGCAGTGTAATCTATTGCTGCAAGGATGTGTGGTAAAGGGGATTTCATGTGCTGCTTGAAACACAGTGTTACAGCCTTTTTGGAAAGCAATCTGGCAATGGCTATTATTTTAAAAATACATATACCCCTTGACCCAGCAGTCTCAGTGCTGGGAATCTATCTTATTGAAATAAAACCAGAAAATCTACTGGAATGCAAACACCATAGACCATGTGTGCAGGGGTATATTGCAGCGATGTTTGAGAAGCAACACACACTCCCCGGCAGAAATACACAGTGTAAATACCACGTGTGTCCATCAGTAGAAGAAGGCTTGCAAAAGTTAGAGTACATCCAATTTTGGGAATATCCATGAAAAGGAAGGGACTTTTTTACATAAGAAAGTGTTTTGAGTAAAAGCAAGAGGCACAATAGTCACTTTTAAAATGGCAACAAAATCTATATTGAGTGTGTGTGCAGTCCTATTTGCCTATATGTGGTTACAGGAACATGGAGAAAAATATTAGCAACTAGGTTGATAAATTGGTTATGGGGGTTGGGTTTAAGGTTAAAGGTGACGGGGTTGGGGCCGGCACTGTGGTGTGGCAGGTAAAAGTGATGGGGTGGCAGAAAAGAAAGAAGGAAGGTAGAATTGAAAGAAAAGAAAGAAAAATAAAATAAGAACCGGAGGTTTGTTTTTTTTTTTTTTTTTTTTTTTTTTAGAGAAAGGTCTTCCTTCCATTGGTTTACCCCCCCTAAATGGCCACTACGGCTGGAACTGCGCTGATTGGAAGCCAGGAGCCAGGTGCTTATCCTGGTCTCCCATGCGGGTGCAGGGCCCAAGCACTTGGGCCATCCTCCACTGCCTTCCTGGGCCACAGCAGAGAGCTGGACTGGAAGAGGAGCAACTGGGACTAGAACCTGGCACCGCAGGTGGAGGATTAACTAATTGAGCCATGGCACTGGCCCCAGAGGATTTTTTGATAAGCTCTATATGAGCCAATAATCTCGTATCACAGGTAAAAATCAAATGCAGTCTCAGGGGCATTGTTGAAATGTACTGTGTCCAAATCAAAGAATATAATAATTCCAGTGTCTTTTATGCTGCTCAGATCAAATCTGGCATATTAGTTTCTAGATACCCTATGAGAAAATAAAACAAAAAATAAATGAAATAAAACAAATACCCTCTTAATTTACCACCAAAAGAAAGAGATTATCTTATTTTAAGAGAAATGGTTAAGAATTAGGTAAACCTGGGTTCCAATTTCTTTTCTGTCACTGGGTGAGCTTGACCCTAGTTTCCACATCTTGCAATAGGGATAACTGCAGTTCTTATCTCTTAGGGTTATTGTAGGATAATTAAATATACACGCTAGGAACCGGCATCTACAAGAAGCTAAACATTAATGTAATTATTATTAAAGTAAACAATTCACTGTGAAGATCATAATTTTCCTATAAGCCAGAGAATAAAAAAACAGGACCATAATCCTGTCTTCCAGAGCAAGATCCTGTTAACTTTTGATTGTTTGTGAATTTACTCACTGTGATGTGACAAGTCATTGTGAAACCTGGTGATAGCGTAGGCATGAATTAGCAGCTACCACTGTGGGAAGGCTTATCATGTGGAAGAGAAATAGACACATTCTGTGAGGCTCGGAAGAGCTACTACAGCAAGAAGCAAGAGCTGTGATGAGAGCTGTCCAGCAACAGAATGGGCTGCCGAGTCCCACAAGGAGCTCCTTGTTACAACAGATGACCATGGTTTGGCTGCTAACCATTTCTCAGAAAAGTTATGGAAGAAATGGCTGTGTGCAAGAGACAGCAAGTTGAACAGCCGCTGGAACTGTTCCTAACTCTAACATTTGATCGTTGAGAAATACTTGCTGGATGTATACAGAGACAGAGCCACGTCCCAGCCACTAAGACAAGCTGCATGGTTCTCACTGGAGTGCGTGCGACATGGTGAGGACAGTTCCAAATTTATCCCATGAACGTTAGTAGGAAATTCCTAGCATAAGTCAGGTCAAGGATCTCACCCTCTTGCAAAGCTGAGGACGTGCGAGTCCACCAATGAAGCCCACTCAGTACAGAGAGAGAAATCAAAGCGAGGGGTGGGCCTGGGGAGAGCTTGCATCTGATCTTCAGGTACTGTTTGTCTGCTTCTTTATTACTCGGGGTTTCTTCCTGAGGAAAATTCCTGACCTGGCAAAAATTCATAGTAATCACTCAGGAGAAAGGAAAAAGAAGAGAGAAACAAACAAAAAATACATTAATGTGCTCAGGGGTAAAACAATCTAGGAACCTGGTGTTGGTTGGAGAGAAGACTAAAGGTCTGTGCAAGGCCCACCCAAGCGCTTTTGATGTTTGATCAGTTATTATCTTATTATTCTTCCTGCTATAGATGCAGCTGCGATTTAGGTAACAGGATGTTTAAAAAGATTAAAGAGAAGCTGTAGTGGGGTTCTGAGGTGATAAGAGTCCCTAGAATATGTATTTATGGACGTTTAGAATATAAGTTCCTGTACATTCTTAGAATAAACCATCTATTTATTTTTCTTCTTTTTAAAGAAACAAGTAAAATTTGTGTTTCAATATGGCTGCTTCCTGCCAGCAAGTGATATAGGAATAATAGAGCAAAGAGAGCAAACAAACAGTGCAGCAAAGACACGGTGGTGGGGGCTCCATCGCTGGCCCATGCTGGTTCTTAATTAGCTTTGAGCTCTGAGTCCAAAACACCTTATCTCCATATTCCACCAGTGTTTGGGATTTATTTGACTTCAACGTGTTCATCAGAAAATGGACTCTCCCACTGTTCACGTCTGAGAGTTGTGTGACAGTCATGAGTGCAACCACCCAATGTGAAGAGGAAAGTTACACGTAATGATAATAATGTGCTAGGGGAGTTGTGGACTTGACGCTGAAATGCGTTCAATTGACATTGGGTCAGAAGAGTGTTCTGTGGGTGTCTCAGGCGCAAACCCATGAGTGACTAATGGGTATTCAAGACTTCCTGCCATGTGTGCCGCTATCTTAGCTGACATCATAAACTGGCAATGGGTACCCAAATAGAAAGGCTTTGGGGCCATATGCTCAGAACTTTTGCTGTTAGTCATAAATTAATTCCTTGCTAATTTCAATTCTCTTAGAAATCTAGGTTAATACTTTGTAAAGACTTGCTGTTTCTCGTGTTCTCTCTCTTCTGCTTTCTTTCTCTTGGCTTAAATTCTCCAAAGGCCCATCATGTTTGTTATTCTCTTTAGCTTATATGAGTGAATAGTTTAATTTGGAAACCCTCTTGAAGACAGAAAATGATATCACAGCAGAAGCACAAAAAGCTTGCAGTCCCACCCCAGTGATCTGATCCAAGAGAAAGAATTCCTTCATGATCCTAAGGTGGGACCCAAGGAAAAGAACTCCTTTACAATCCTTCTGAGCAGCAAAGGGAGACAAGAGCCTGCAGCACTTCCAGTCTGAAGCTGCCCTGAGCCACATGTGCTCACAGTGGCACTCTGATCCAGGATGCCCATTTAAACACCATGGGCAGGACGTAGATGTTAGGTTCTTCTTCAGTGGTGCTAATCTACACCTCATACATCATGCCACATTCCTCTCACTTCCACTGCATGCTTCTGAAGAACCAGCCAAGGTGAGCAAAGTAATCTCTGGGGATGAGACTGGAGGGCATTATTTGTACGTAGAGTAAGTCCAAGAGTTAATTACCATGTTGCCTTAATACTCTCCCCTAACTACTGAGCTATTACCTAGTCATAGACTAGTTGTGTTTGAACATTTTATTACTAAGTGGGTAGTTGATAATACCCAATTACTTTATTTGAGTTGAGATAAAAATCTCCTGTTCACATGAAAGATGTACATGCACGATTACATGCAAGACAGATAATTCTGAATTAAAGCCAGTGTATATTAAATCGTAAACATCACAGGCATTAATGGGCTGTCTACTGTGGTTTCTGAAATTGTTTCCTTTACTAGAATGTAATGAAGCTTCATGAGGGAGAGTGCTCTGCTTTTTCATTGTTGTATTCTCACGCATGGGAGATACTCAGTAAATATTTGCTGAACTAGGGCCAGTGTTGTGGGTTAAGCCTCCACTTGCAACACCAGTAGCCCATATTGGAGTGGTGGCTCAAGTCCCAGAGGCTCCGCTTCCAATCCAACTTCCTGTTAATGCACCCAGGAGGTTAGCAGAAGACGACGCAAGTCCTTGGCGCCTGCCACCCATGTTGGAGACCAGGATGAAGTTCTTGGCTTTTGTGTTTGGCCTGGGTTTATCGTGGCCATTTGGAGAATGAGCCAGTAGATGGAAGTCTCTCTTTCTCTCTGCCTTCCAAATAAATAAATAAATATCTTAAAAATATCTTTTCAAAAATCTATTGAACAAACTAAGATGTTTGGTGGTATAATAGGAAATTAAAAATAAGTCAACTAGGGGTGGGTGTTGCGGTCCAACAGGTTAAGGTACCACTTGGGACACCCATATCTCATACTAGAATGACTAATTCAAGTCCTGGCTATTTTGTTTCCCATCTAGCTTCACACTAATGCACATCTTGGGAAGCAGCAGACGATAAGTCAAGTGTTTGAATCCTAACTGGATGGAATTCCTGGCTTCTGGCTTCAGCCTAGCCCATACCTGGCTGTTGTAGGCATTTGGGAAGTGAACCAGCAGATGGAAGATGTTCATCTTCTTCCTTATGGGGCGTAGGGTTAGGAATTTCAAACTTGAATGCTTTCAGAAGGCAGGCCAATAATATAGATGGTGAAGCAGGTGCATGTAATACAACAGGGAAGCCTAGTGGTGGGCGTTTGGCACAGGGGTTAAGACGCTGCTTGGAAAGTCCACAGCCCACATCAGAGTACCTGAGTTTGAGTCCCAGCTCTGTTTCTGACCCAGCTTCCTGCTACTGCACACCCTGGAGGCATCAGATGTTGGCTTAAGTTCTTGACTCCCTGCCACCCACGTGGGAGAATCAGATAGAGTCCCAGGCTCCTGGCTTTGTCTTGGTTCAGCCCTGGCTGTTGCAGGCATTTGGAAGTATTAACTAGTGGATGGAAGGTCTGTCTGTCTCTTTCTGCTTTTCAAATGAATGAATGAATGAATGAAAAAAAGTTTTAAATGGGGAGATATAGACTTAGGGAAAATGATAATTATATGGCTCTTCCAAAGACATTAAAAACCATTTAAAGGGGCCAGTGTTGTGGCATAACAGGTTAAGTCACTGCCGGTGTCACAGGCATCCCTTTTGGGCACCAGTTAAAGTCTCATCTGCACCACTTGCAATCCAGCTCCCTGCTAATGTGCCTGGGAAAGCAGCAGCAGATAGCCCAAGTATTTGGTCTCCTGCCACCCACATGGGAGACCTGGATAGAGTTTCTGGCCCCTGGCTTCAGTCTGGTGCAGCTCCAGCTGTTGCACTATTTGGAGTGTGAAATAGCAGACAGAGGATCCCCCCCCGCCCCGCTGTGTGTGTGTGTGTGTGTGTGTGTGTGTGTGTGTATTTCTCTCTGTAACTCTGTCCTCTGTCTTTCAAATAAATAAATAAATTTTTTTTAAAACTTTTCTGGTCGTGATAACCTCCCCACGTGAACATGCAGCTCACAAAGGATCTCCTCCATCCCTCACCAAAAGAGAGGAGGAAACATAAGAAGAAGTGCCTGCTGCAGAGCCTCAATTTCTACTTCGTGGGTGTGAAGTGCCCAGGATGCTATAAAATCACCACAGATTCTAGCCACGCACAAACAGTAGTTCTGCATGTTGGCTGCTCTGCTGTCCTCTGCCAGCCTACAGGAGGAAAAGCAAGGCTTCCAGAAGGATGTTCCTTCAGAAGGAAGCAGCACTAGAAGCATCCTGAATCCAGAAGAGTGGGAAACCTTCCCAATAAGCACATTTAAACACATTTTGGATTAAAAAAAATCATTTAAAGGGGCTGGCATTGTAGCACAGCTGGTTAAGCCACATTCTTTGATGCCAGTATCCACATCAGAGCACTGGTTCAAGTCCTACTGCTCCACTTTTGATTCAACTCCCTGCTAATATGCCTGGGAAAGCAGTGGAAGATGGCCCAAGTGTTTGGGCTCCTGCACCCACCCACGTGGGACACCTGGATGGAGTTCCAGTGTTCAGGCTTCAGCCAGGCCCAGCCCTGGCCGTTGAGCAGCCAAGAGCCAGGAACTCAGTTTCAGTGTCCTATATAGGTGGCAGAGGCCTGGGCACTTGAGCCGTTATTTGTTGTCTCCCAGGGCATGAATTAGTAAAAAGCTAGATTGAAAGCAAAGGAGCCTGGACTCAAACCTGGCACTCCAGAATGGGATGCAGATATCTCAAAAAGCAACTCAACTGCTGCACCAAATGCCTGGCCCTGGTTGAACAATTGTGAGAATAAAGAAGCAACTCTGCCTCTCACAGTGGTGAGATTCAACAAAGCATCACACTTGGAGGGCCCATGTTCTGTGAGGCTGCAGCACCAAAGGCCATGACTGGTCTGTGGGAGCTGTTTGAGGCATTTGGTGGTGTTTTTTTTTTTTTAAGACTTATTCATTTATTTGAAAGGCAGAGTTACAGAGAGGCAGAGAGAGAGAGAGAGAGAGAGAGAAAGAGGTCTTCCATCCACTAGTTCACTCCCCAAATGGCTGGAGCTGGGCCAGGAGCCAGGAGCCTCCTCAGGTCTCCCACACAGGTGCAGGGGCCCAAGGACGTAGGCCATCTTCTACTGCTTTCCCAGGCCATAGCAGAGAGCTAGATTGAAAGTGGAGCAGCTGGGACTCGAACCAGTGCCCATAAGGGATGCTGGCACTGCAGGAGGCAGCTTTACCTGCTGTGCCACAGCACCGGCCCCTTTGGTGCTTTTTGACCGAGTAACTCAGACTTGGAGAATGAACCGCTGAGAGGGGGAAGAGAGAGTTCCTAAGACAAGACAAACCTGGAGCTTTGCAAAGGCAGGTGGGTCATGACAAAGCAAAGTCAGGATTACCAGACCTGAGGGTAAAGCAGAAAGATTCTAAATGGAGTTATCTACAGGGCAGCCTCCTGGGAAGGGTGTGATGGCTTCCCTGGAATGATCAGAAGGGTCATTTAGCAGCACGACCAGTGACCCACTAAGACCTGAATGGACAGAAGAATGTGACTTGATCATCAGTGTCATTAACCTCCTTCTGTCCTCCAATCCCTGACTTTTTAGGATAGCTTGGGGGCAGGGGGTGGGGTGTCAAAGGACTCAATTTGCTGGCTTCCCATGGAGTCTCCTGTGGGTAAAAGTTCACAAGGTGAAAAGCACAGTGACATCAGAAATTGAAGAGTGGAATATGGACTTCACTCTTTTTTTAAAACTTTTATTTAATGAATATAGATTTCCAAAGTACATCTTATGGACTACATTGGCTCCCCGCCCCCCCCCCCCCCCCGCGCCGCGCCCAGACTTCACTGTTGAAGCAGTCAGTCTATGAGTCTATGTGGCCATAAGTCTAAGTTTCTAGCTAATGACAGCAAGTGGAAGTCTTTTTTTTTTTTTTAAGGATTTTGTTTATTTATTTGACAGGTAGAGTTACAGGCAGTGAGGGAGTCAGAGAGAGACAGAGAGAAAGGTCTTCCTTCTGTTGGTTCACTCCCCAAATGGCCACAACGGCCGGAGCTGCACACCAATCCAAAGCCAAGAGCCATGAGCTTCTTCCCGGTGTCCCAAGTCCAGACCAAGCCTGAAATTTATTCCCTGTTTTTCCTGAACTAGATAAATGCTCACTGCAGAAACTGTTATCTCCTGGTGGGTGCTCCTAATATTAAGGCAGAGTTGCAGAGAGAGAGGAAAAGAGAGAGAGAGAGAGAGAGAGAGAGAGAGAGAGAGAGAGGAAGTCAGTGGTTCACTTCCCAGATTGCAGCAACAGCCAGGGGTGGGCTGAGCTGAAGTCAGGAGCTGAGAGCCTCCTCTGAGCATCAAAGCCCCAAGCACCTGGGCCATCCTCTGCTGCTTTGCCTGGGCCATTAACAGGGAGCTGGATTGGAAGTGGAGCAGCTGGCACACGAATCAGCACCCATATGGAATGCCAGTATCGGAAACGGTGGCATGACCCAGAATGCCACAACACCAACCCCCTTGTATTCAGTTTCACCCCCCCCCCCATATTGTTATTTCCTGAAGTTACTCTGACCTCTCACTAAGTCTGTTAGCCCTACACTCTCCTGTGGTAGAGGTGTGGAGAGTAAGGGGATGAAACTAAAGAGAAGGGTGCCCTACCTCACATAACTTTTATGCTAGATACCAATTTTTTAAAAATATTTATTTATTTATTTATTCAAAAATCAGAGTTACACAGAGAGGGAAGGAGAGAGAGAGAGAGAGAGAGAGAGAGAGAGAGGTCTTCCATCCGCCGGTTCACTCCCCAACCAGCTGCAACGGCTGGAGCTGCGCCGATATGAAGCCAGGAGCCAGGAGCTTCTTCCAGGTCTCCCATGTGGGTGCAGGGGCCCACAGGCTGGGGCCATCTTCTGCTGCTTTCCCAGGCTGTAGCATAGACCGGGATTGGAAGTGAAGCAGCTGGGGTTCAAACCAGAGCCAATAAGGGATGCCGGCACTGCAGGCAGCAGCTTTAACCACTACACCACAGCGCCAGCCCCTACATCAATTTTTAAAAAAAAGATTCATTTTACTTATTTGAAAAGTAAAGAGAGAGAGGCAAAGAGAGAGAGGGGAGAGTCAGAGGTCTTCCATCCACTGGTCTACTCCTCAAATGGCCACATCAGCCAGGGACTTGGAACTCCATCTAGATCTCCCACATGGGCAGTAAGGGCCCAAGCAACTGGATTATCTTCCACTGCCTTCCCAGTAGCATTAGCAGGGAACTGGATTATAAGCAGAACAGCTGTTCTGTGCTCATATGGGATGCCCGCATCATAGGCAGTGGCTTAACACATTGCGCCACAACACCACACTGGCTATGCACCCATTGCAGGGAACAACATCCTGCAAGAGAACTGTGTGCAGGAAGTAGGGGCGGTGACCTGCAATGGAGTGAGTAGGGAGCTGCGAGGGAGTGGATGGCCAGTGAAGAGTCTATGATGTGGGGGCAGCTCAAGAGAGCGTGCAATCTCCACCTAGGAAGGGGGCATCACAGGGGGGACTTGGCCCAACACCCCTCCTCACTTCCCAACCTACTGGAGCTAGTTCTATCAGGAATTCTAAGTCTGTGTCTTTGGTGTGCATTAAAACCATATAAAGGATACAGCTTGTTATCCGGTGGATAAGGCGTCATGAGAAGGTGGAAGATGACAGCCTTGCCCTCGCCTGGAACAGCTTTGTGCTCGTTAGTAGAGCTTATGAGACTAGCAAAACTCAGATTTCCCAAAGTGAAGCATTTCTGAACTTCACGAGCTGTGCAAGAACAGACTTGTGAGGTGAGATGGTTCAGTCTGCACCTTCCCAGATAATGTAATGTGCGTGATTTCCCCAGCAGAAGCACACAGAGAAACACGGAATTACCCTCACACCCTGGGCATTGTCATTGCTAATGTTCCTCTCTCTCTTAAAGGTTAAGAGAGAGGTAAGTTTTGGATCAGGGCGTGTGTCAGGTGGGCTATCTTTTCTTTTTCAGTTCTGGCTGGTTTTTATAGTAAAGTATAGCAAGATGGACACAGAGGCAGAGGGGGAAAGTTTCTCCTACTTTTCCCATCTTGCTTTTTAATCATTAAAGATAATTCGGGAGATTATTTGCCAAGTCCAGACCAAGCCTGAAATTTGTTCCCTGTTTTTCCTGAACCAGATAAATGCTCAGCTGCGGAAACTGTTATCTCCTGGTGGGTGCTCCTAATATTAAAGGCCAATTATTAAGCTGCTCCCAGGGGTCAGCCACGTTGTGTCCACACTGAGCTGGGAAGGAGACGCGCCAAGGTGAGCCAGGTCGCCAGCATCAGCACGGAAGGCCTCATTCTACTCTCAGCCATTGTCTCAGTCTCATGAACTTTCACCCACAAAAGCCCTTCTTTGAACGGTCTGATCAAACACAAGGTCTTTAAATATTTTTTTTTTTAGATTGTTTACTTACAGTTAAACCTTTAGACAGGAGGCCAACTCTCAGTGGTCAGTTTCAAATAGGTTACCTTTGGACCGAAGGGATTTTTAAAAAAATCTGCAACCTTCAAATAGACATGTGAACGATGCCTATGTGCCTGAATTCATCTGCTCTCCTGGAGTATTTCCTCTCCCCCGGGGACACCTTAGGGAGCACTGTGGGTTTAAGAGAACAACTTCAATGGGAAGTCTTTGTCCCACCCGGAAGTGAGGAGTGCAGCTGAGCAGGTGGTGACCCACAGAGCTGAGTGGCAATGGGGAGGTCTGCAGGTGGGAGGAGGGGAGGGCGGATAGGGAAAGGCAGTGAGCCGCGTCCTTGGTCCCCTATCCGAAAAGCGCCTTCTCCTTGAGGGTCACCTGACCTGCATGTGTTTGCCTACTGCTTTGTCAGTATAGGAACAAGCGTAAAGCTATAAGGCAACATATTTACTGTCTTAAAAGTCTCTTTCTTGCACTTTCAGAATGCTCCTCTCCTGGGTTTCCCTGAGAAAATGAAGTTCAGGTGCCAATTCTTTATCCACGTGATCCTCTAGGATTTGAGGAACCATGAGAGAAGAATAAAGATTTGCTGGACAAAATAGGTCATGGAGGAGCCAGTGCTGTGGTGTATAGGTTAAGCCTCTGCCTGCAGTGCCAGCATCCCATATGGGCGCTGGTTCAAGTCCCGGCTGCTCCACTTCCAATCTTGCTCCCTGCTAATGCACCTGGAAAAGTATTGGAAGATGGCCCAGGTGCTTGGGCCCCTGCCACCCACGTGGGAGGCCCGGAGGAAGCTCCTGGCTCCTGGCTTCAGCCTGGTCTAGCCCTGGCCTTCAGTCATTTGGAGAGTGAACCAGTGGATGGAAGATCCCTCTCTCTGACTCTCCCTCTCTCTGTCTCTCCCTCTATCTGTCTGTAGCTCTAAAATAAATAAATATATATATTTTTTAAAAAAGGTCATGGAACAAGGAGAAAAATCTTTGTAAAATTATGTTTGAAAATGGTTACTTGAGGGCGGCGCCGCGGCTCAATAGGCTAATCCTCTGCCTGCAGCGCCGGTACACCGGGTTCTAGTCCCGGTTGGGGCGCTGGATTCTGTCCCTGTTGTCCCTCTTCCAGGCCCATTCTCTGCTGTGGCCCGGGAGTGCAGTGGGCCCTGCACCCGCATGGGAGACCAGGAGAAGCACCTGACTCCTGGCTTCGGATCAGCGCAGTGTGCCAGCCGCAGTGGCCATTGGAGGGTGAACCAACGGCAAGGGGAGGACCTTTCTCTCTGTCTCTCTCACTGTCCGCTCTGCCTGTCAAAAGAAAAAAAATGGTCACTTGAACTTCAGATTGCTGGTAAAATTGGCAGATCAATTGACTTTCGCAGCGTCACATTTGTAGGTAGGTAGTGTTTCCAGAACTGCCAAGGATTTGGAATAAAGTCTAGGTAGGGCCTAGGTGGGAAAGAGTACAAAGCCACCAAAAAGCAGCGGCCCAAATACTTGCACCATCTTCCACTGCTTTCCCAGGCGCATTAGCAGGAAGCTGGTTTGGAAATTGAGTAACCAGGACTTGAACCGGCCAGCCATTTGGGATGCCGGCTCCACAGGGCAGCAGCTTTACCTGCCATGTCACAATGTCGGCCCCAAGCACCTGTGTTTTATGTTCATCTCAAAAGGTTCTAAAAGGCCCACTTTATCTAAACCTCTCAGCTGTCCTGAGCAAATCTGGATGGTTGTTCCTCCCAGTCTCACAGGACAGAAAGGTGTTTTGTTGCACATAGATTGAGCGTACATTTATGTTAGTTACTACAGGAAGTGACTAACATGTTGTCTCAGTTTCCCCTAACAATCTTAAGAAGCAGACACTTTTGTCATCTCTAATTCGCAGATGAGAGGACTGACACACAGAAAGATTAGGCAGTTTGCTTAAGGTAGAAATGGGAGAAAAGATGGACTCCAAGTCTGACTCCACATTAAGACCCCAAACACATTTTGGTCCTGTTAGTCCCTGAAGGAAGGCAGAACCCTCACCAGGCCTGGTAACTTTGAAGTGTGAGCAGGGAGCGTACTGACCACCAGCCAGTGGAGAGGTTTCTTGAGCCCCCAGATCTCCTATGGCATGATCCTAGCTTGGTGATTCATCAGGGGCAGGTTCTGGCCCTCAGCCGCATAGGCTTAGAAGGACAGTCTGTTAACATGCAGGTTGCGGATATATCACCCAAAGCAGACTCAAGCCCCAAAGGTCAGCATTCAAAACCATGATACCAGTGCATTCATAAAATTATAACTAGAAATAGAAGGAGGTGCAG